GCAGGTGATGGCTCATGTAGTGGGTCCCCACCACACATGGAGAAACCTGGATTGAATTTCTGGAAGGCATTTTAAAAAATTAATATTACTATTTTATTTTGATGATCTTTACATAGTTCATTAGGGCGCAAAGGTCAAAGGCTATAGGAAAGTGGGTAAGACCATTGTTTCCACATTCTCTCTCTCAATCTCTCTCTCTCTCTCTCTCTCTCTCTCTCTCTCTCTCTCTTCTCTGTATCTGGGGGAAGGAAAGAGACATAGGGAAAAGCCACACCCAGCCTCCCAACCATCCCACGGGTCCTGATGTGGGGCATGCTCCTAGGGCACTGCTCAAGTGGTTTTTATAGTTCAACAGGTCTGAATTGCTGCCGATTTTGCCATTCCAAGCATGATGAAATCTCTCCAGAATCTACTGGCTGACATAGTCCACCTTAGAGTCTCTGTTAGCCCAGATTTTCACTGCCAATACATGGCTGAGATAGTTGATGGATTTGTTTTGTCCTCTGTCCTCTGTTGTGGTATCAGGTGTCCTCTGCAGGCCATATCCTCCATGTACACCTGGATGTGCTGTCCACTGCTCCATCTGAGCCACTGAGGAGGCTCAGCTTTGACACACGTACTCCATGGTCAGGCCATGGAACGTTCTGGCAGACATTTGAAAAGTGAATCGGCAGATTACAGCTTTCTGTCTCTCTCTCTGGAAGAAATAAAGTAAGTGAATAAAAAGTTGTATTGCAGACGGTTACACCTAATGTGAGAGTGGTAATCCACGTGAGTGAAAGTTCGAGTCCTCTCTCATCCTGCTCTCTGCTTTTGCTCCTGGGAAACCAGTGGAAGATAGCCTGAATGCTTAAGCCCCTGCCAACCATGTGGGAGACTTACACAAAGCATCTGACTCCTGGCTGTTACCAGGCCCAGCTATTTTGCTGTTTAGGGAATAAACCAGTAGCTGGAAGAACCTCCTCTCTCCCCACCCTCCATTCCACTCCCTCTCTGTAATTTAGCTTTCAAATAAATAAACAAATCTTAAAAGTTAAAATGTATTGTTTAAAACATTAGTTAAATAACTACAAATAAGTCACATACAGTTAATCTAACTCTGTGACGCCAAAATCAAGTTAAGCAAAAGCACTGAAAAATGTCGTACAAATGGGAAGGTGAGAGATGCAAAGCAAGAACACATAGTACAGCAACATTATTTTAAAATTTCAGCAAGCAGGTGGCATCTTGTTTGGTAATTTAATATTCATAATTTAATTATTACAAAGTTTCTATTAAGTAGGTATTGTTGTTTGCATTTATTTTTATTGGAAAATCAGATATACAGAGACAAGGAGAGACAAAGATCTTCTGTCCACTAATTCACTCCCCAAGTGGCCACAATGGCTAGAGCTGAGCTGATCCAAAGCCAGGAGCCAAGAGCTTCTTCTGGGTCTCCCACATGTGTACAGAGTCCCACGGATTTGGGCCATCCTCCACTGCTTTCTCAGGCTACTAGGAGGGAGCTGGATGGGAAGCAGGGCTGCTGGGACACAAACGGGTGCCTATACGGGATCCTGATGCATGCAAGGTGAGCACTGAGCAATTGAACCATTGCAGCGGGGCTTCACTTATTTTACAAGCTGGCATCTCTTACCTCAGAAAGAGATTTGCCAAGATAGCCTAGCCCTTTCTTTTATTTTTAGAGTATTTATTTATTTGAGTGGCAGTGACAGAGAGAGGGAGGGACAGAGAGGGAGGGAGAGAGAGAGAGAGAGAGAGAGAGAGAGAGAGAGAGAGAGAGAGAGATTTTACACCTGTTGGTTCACTCTCCAAAGGGCCACAACAGCTGGGGCTTTTCTAAGCTGAAGGCAGAATCCTAGAATTTCTTGCTGACCTCCCACCTGCATATCAGGGGCCCAAGCACTTACCATCAACTGCTGCTCTCCAGGCCATAAGCAGGGCACTGGATCAGAAGTAGAGCTGCCAAGACACAATTCAGTGCCCATATAGATGCTGGTGCTGGAAGCAGAGGATTAGCTTGCTAAGCCACCAGGCCAGACCTGCATCAAACAAATTCTTGTCCTTCTTCCTCTTTTTGCTTTCTTTCTTTTCTTTTCTTTTCTCTTCCTTTCTTTCCATATGTTCTGAGATAAAAACACGTATTTTTTTAATTACTGAAGCATGTTTAACAATATTATGAAAAGTCTCACAGAGGTTCATTAAAACACACTAAAAGTTTAAAGCAAAATCATATTTAAATATGTATGTATAAAAATGCACATTCAACAAATAGACCTTGTAATTCCTAGAATTACTCTACATTATTTTTTAATGGTAAAATTCTTTTTGCAAGTATTCTTGCATTGTTTCCAGTCTTAAACCACACCTTTATTTCTATGTGTTTATAGCTCAAATTTATTCTACTTCTTAGAAGTAAAACTTACCCTTATGCTGTCTGGATGTATCTTTGACGTACAAAAAGGAAGTTCACTGAGAAGAGGAAAGAATTTTCTTTTTTCTTTTTTTTTTTTTTGGTGTGCACTGCTTAGTTCACGGCCTAGTTGTTGTCTGGTGACAAAGCCAGGACAGAGACTCTGAGGCCATGGCCTGTAGAGGAGGCCCTTGCAAGGAGAAAACATGGACAATGCAGGCCTGCCAGGAGGACTCCAAAGCAGACTAAGAGATGAACAAAAATGTAACCAAAATCATTGAACTTCCCCTGATTCTTCCTTGTGCAAGTAAAGGAATGAATCTACTTTTTTCAATATGTGAGAAAAACATAAGCTTCCTATTGGTGCAAGTTTAGACCTCAAACACATCTAAGCCTTGCCATAACTCAGCCTCGGAGATTAAACACTGCAGGTTGTCTGCATGCCCGACACTGGCCTGAGTCCTAGGGACAACAGAAAGGCTCCAAAGTCACCCCAGCCATCAGGACCCCAGAGCTGGCCCCAGGGGCAGAGCAGAACTGACGCGACCCGTCAAGGCTGGTCACTCAGAGTCACCATGTTCTTTCCTCCCCAGTCTGCGTTCCACCTGCTGCTCTCTTGCTGCAATCTCTTCTTCCAACACGTGAGCCCGTTCCACCTCCCTCCACTTCTCACACATCAAATGATGCCCTATCAAAACTAAACTGCATTAAAGGTCATCTAGTTATGTGGTTTTCGTTTTTTCCTCCATGAAACTAGGTTTGTTGTTTTATTTACAAAGCAGAGAAGAGGGGCAGATAAAGAGAACTCTCAAGCATTCTCTCCCCACATGGTTGAGACTGGGTCAGGAAAGAGCCAGGAGCCATTTTACTAAGTCATTCCTCTTCTTTTTTTGCCATGTAACAATAGACTTGCTTATAACACATCTCCTAGTCTTCCAAAGCCTATGCAATTAAAGCACAATGCATCTAGTTGCCAGCTTTTCAACCCAGGGCAGGGCAAATGGCAGTTGTTCCAAACACGACGAGAACTGGCATCAAGCTAGACAAGGGCAAGAAAGCCAGGCTGGCATTTCTGTAAAAGCATCCCCAGACAAAACAGTTTGCATTGAAGATGTCTGGTTTTCCATAGCGCTTCTTCCAGGCTACCTACAGCTATAACCCCCACCAGGCCTACCCCCCTGCCCTGGTTTGCCAGTATATGTGGCAGAATCCCATGACATAGAATTGCTGCATCTCTGTTTCTCCAGAAGATTGAATTAATTTTTTCTCTTTGCCTCTGGGCAAACTGTGAAGTACAGGCAATGATGAATATAAAAATAGCTGTAGGTAGCCTGGAAGAAGCGCTATGGAAAACCAGACATCTTCAATGCAGTCTGTCCCACATCCCCTTCTGCTCTCATACATGTCAATGGATATTAAAATCTTGTTCCAGCTAACCAGCTCAACCATCCAGCCTTCATGGATGTTGTTGGGTGTCTCTCTGTCTAGCCACCCCAGCCCCTGTCCTAGTTTTTGTGCCCTCCCATGGGTAGGTGATAACCCAAGAGGGAGGAGCCCACTATTTCCCTCCTAGGCCATTCCCACTCCCAGATTATGCATTTTCCAGGTGGTTCTGTGGTTTAACTTGACAGAATCAGCCCCCAATGCCAGCTTCTTTCAGCTGATGCTGCGGCTAAGCCCAAACAACCCTCACCCACTCTAATTGTAGATTGCACCAGTAGGATCAATCAGCCCAGCCTGGTTTTTCCATGATCTGGTCTACATGAGGCGCACAGGTGTTGTAGCCCTGCTTAGTCTGGTCTGCGCCCCATCCCAGCTCCATTTAATACCTTCTTGCATGTAGTCAATCCACTTAGCATAATGACTGGCAAGTACAGGAGCACAATAAAAATTAAGTGTTATTGTTACATTGTTATTACTCTACAAAGAGGAACTGTTAGGTTTATTCTGGGTCTCTTTCGCTGTATTAGGTGGAACCCTTGTTCTTGAGTGGGAACAATGTCTGTTTCAAAATAGCGGGGCCTGAAACTCCAGCCCCGGCAGGCAGGGCAGGTTTAAGAGCATCTTCCTTATTCCAGCCGCCCGCCCTGAAATGCAGTTCACCTACCGTTTCTGTGCAGGTGGTTGTGTCTGGTCTGACTCCTTTCCTGGACAGAGCTCTTACTCCCTAGTGAAGATGAGTGCATTTCATGTGGAACCCCTGTGAGGATTAGAAGGCATTTGGCTGAAGCGTCTCAGGTACAACGGGGCCTCCAATGGCCCCAACAAATCGGGAGGTTTTGCACAATCTTTCTGGGGTTGGGGGGCTCCTGACCCATTGATGCCACCCATTAGTCCTCCCACTTCCCAGAGTTTATCCCCTCTAGAATCATATACACTTGAAATGAGTTGATGTAAGGTCTTGAGACCCGACAGAGGCCTTGGAAGCCTAGAGGCGGCTCTCAGGAGCCAAAGCACTCCGGGGACCTGCACAGGTCTGGATCCCCCTCCCAGCAGCTGCGTGGCGCCGCACCGGCCGGTGGGAGCAGCCCTGGGCCGCGCTGCCGCTTTAAGAGAGGGGCGGGGCCCGGCACAGCAAGCCAGGGCCAGCCCACAAGGCTTCTTTTCCTTTTTGATCCATTCAAAAATTACTCATTGCAAATTCCCGGACTGCAAGGAGCGGAGAAAGAAGGGGGCGGAGGAGAGAGGACAGCTGCAGGCGTCGCGCTGGGGGTGCCCAGAGACCCGGGACATTGACGGCCGTCCCGCAGACGCTGGTGGCCGGCGCCCGGCTCCGTGGCCTCACCAGGAAGCGTCAGTCTCGACCCCGGGGAAGCTGAGCGCCGCCCCTGCCACCCCCGCGGCAGCCACCACCGCTGCCTGGCTCTGTGCATCGGAGTTCCCCCCCGGGCCACAGCCACAGCCCTAGCCTGAGTCCTCCTCCGCCTTCCCGCGATGGCCGGCCGCTGAGCTCTAACTGGGCACGGCCAACCCAGCCCGCTCGGCATGGCTGCGAGAGAGGAGCTGTACAGCAAAGTCACCCCCCGGAGGAACCGCCAGCAGCGCCCGGGCACCATTAAGCACGGATCGGCGCTGGAAGTGCTGCTCTCCATGGGGTTCCCCCGAGCGCGCGCGTAAGTGACCGCCCCGCGCCCCTCCCGCCCGCGGCTTCGCTCCAGCTCGCCTGCCCAACGGGTGCCCGTGATCTGCTGCGGGGGGTAGGACGAGGGGCGCTCTGGACACCCAGGACCCTGCTGCCACCGTGCTGCAGAGGACGCGCGCGGAGCGAGCTTGCTGGGTTGGGGACTTGGGCTGGGCCCCCAAAGCTGGGAGGCCGAGAGCACCGGGTTCGAGTCCCCCCAGGCGCCAAATTCCCCACGGGTGGCGCTAGGAAGCTCCCTCTCGCGCCCCTTGAGGTCCCCGGCGCCCAGCCTCTGAAGGCGGGTCCCCTCAGGCGACTTAGGCTGACTTGGGATCTGCTGTTGGCTGGGAAAGGAGCAAGGCGCTGTGGGGCAGGGAGGCCGGCACCCTCACTGCCGCCGCTTCCAGCTGCGGACTTCGCTTTGCGCCTTAGTGATGCTCTGAAAGAGGCGGAGCGGGAGAGTGGGTGTTGTTGCGTGCTCAGTGATGGGGAGGATGCGATTCCTTCCGTGCTGAAATCTGTGGGTGCCCACCAGCAAGCTGGGAGAGCGGTCCTCCTCCCGGTTTATTCCTCTCAGTGGGAAGTAAGGCAAGGAGAGCATCCTACAGCAGCTTGCAGCCAAAAAGGCCTGTCAGCTTAGGGTGGCAGCAGCAAGGCAGGGGGCTTGCTAGGCCGAAGAATCAAAGCTGGGCGCTAAGGAAGGTGAGACCCAGCTGTCAGGCTCTTCTCTGGCTCATCCCTCTGCAGCTGTCCTAGATGGGTCCCAGGCCGGAGACCCTCCCCTCTAGCGTACTGCACCTTTATGTCTCTGAATTACGTCACCTGAACAAGAGAGTTGGGCAAACTTTATCAGGAAGAACCAACAAAGGAAAGTTTCTCTTCCTTCTCCCCTTTTTCGGATGATAACTCTGGGTCTCCCTTCCCCTGCTGACGGGTGAACTTCGTTTATTCTAACCTCTTAAAACAGACACCTGAGTTTCTCAGTGCACATGGCATGCTGGGATAGGAGGGACACAGTGGGGTGGGTTCTACACAAGAGCTCCAGGTCCTGATGCTAGAAGAGGCTGTGGGCTATGCAGGGTGAGTCAGGTGTGGATGCTGTGCATTGGAGCATTTGTGAGGATGACAACGTGCATCCCTTGCTTTCAGAACCAGAGTCAAATCCCAAAAAGATGAAATTAGCATGGCCTCAGACATCTGTGCCTTTCCAGAAATTAGGCCAGCTTTAAGGGCTGAAACTGCTTAATTGAGGAAAGAAATAGTTATCTGAGCTTCTCTGACCTTCAGATGGGCTTTTAAAGGGACCTTCCCTTTCAGTACTCCGAATCCAAGAGGCTTGACAGATAACTAAAATGGTCTAATTTTGGCTTGCTCAACCCCAGAGGCCCACGTAACAGCTGACGTTTGTCCAGTATTTACTATATACTGTTCTCAATGCTTGATTGGCGATTTTATCCACCTAACAATCCAGTGAGACAGACAGAAGCTTTGTGGCCATAGTATACATTGGGAAACTGAGGCTTAAGTTTCCTAACCCGCTCAAGTGACAACATTGAGCTGCAACACTGGGATTCAAGCGGAGGCTTTGTGTCTGTACCATCCAGGCCAGCCCTCTCAGGCCAGGATGTGAAGTTTTCCATGTAGGTCACGTGCATAGAGCTGTTCCCAGTACATAGTAGGGGCTGTCATCAAGTGCTGGTTCCCACATTAGCACAAACTGGGAGGTGGCTTGGAACAGCAGATGTCTTAGCCCTCGGGTCCAGAGGTAAGGAGTCTGGCAGCAGTCTTTGGCCTGAAACGATGTTCCCCGAAGGGCTGTGCTCCCTTGGCAAGCTCTAGGAGAAGGTCCCTTCAGCACCTTTTGCCTGGCTTCTGGTCACCTCCTTCCAATGCCTGCCTCCTTGGCCATGTTACTGTCTCCATCCTGTCTGTCAAATCTCTCTATATCTCACATGCAATGTTCATGTGATGCCACTTGCTTAGGTAAACCAAGGTGATCTCTTAATTGCAAGATCCCCATCTTAATCATCTCTGCAGCATCCCATTTTTTTTTTAACCAAATGTGGTGACACTCACAGGTGCAAGGGATTGGGGCACTGATGCCTTGGGGTGTCTTCATTTAGTCTATCACAGAGCTACTGACGTGATGGTTATGAGCAGGCCTGGTAAGCAGGTGGTAGGATTTGCTGCTCTGTCTTCAGAAGAGTCAAGCCCTTGGAGGTCACAAGATGTAGTCAATTCCCTAGCTGTCTGGCCTCTCCTATACCTTCGCTCGGAAAGCTTGATGTGCTTGGCCTTCCCTTTAATAACTCAGGTTAATAAGAGGGCTTTTCAGAGGCCAGGCATTTAGCTTCACTTAGAGAGATGAAATAAAGAAAGCAAGGGCATGAGGCTTAGTTTATGTGGAACTCCTTTCATGATCCTTACGCCTGGAGGGTCCAAGAGCACAATGAAACCCCAAAGCAGGCAAGAGCACTGATGGGCTACTGACTTCAGGAAGACTAGGATGTGGTACCTCAAGACAGCCTGAGATCTGTGACTCCAACAAGGCTCTGTTGAGAACATGGCACTAGCCAGGGCCAGCAGCTCTGGTTTTCTCTGTGTTGCAACTGGGTCTGGTGTTATGTGGAAGCCTGCAGAAGCACTTGATCAGGCTCAGGGTGGGCCAGTAGAAGGGACCAAAGATAACAAGAGCAAGTTGCATTTCAACCCATGCTCTGCTGTGTATGATCTTGACAGTCACTCAGCACCCCCCGCCCCCCAGGGCCCTGCTGGTACCCTCTGCCGGGAACATGATGGATATGTGCTTGACAGAGCTAAAAGGACAGGGGTATAAGACTGAGGTAGGGCAGGCTGACCTCAGGCTATGGTCTCTGTAGCTCATTACTCCCCAGAAGCTGGGCTAGGTTTTCTTTTTATTTTATTGTATGGACTTGACATGGCTGTAGAGGAAACCGTCAGTCTCGTGGAGAACTGAGAAGTGATGATTTTCTGATAGGTGTCTGTGATGGTATACAAAAACAATGTAAGGAGGTGTTAAGGACTCAATAGGAAGGAAACCTAAAAGTTTCCCAAATGACCTACCCTTTTTATTTCTTTCAGTGCCACTTAGCATTTCTGTGTTTCAAATATTCTAAAACCTAAAGTCCCCCTAGCAAGTGAAACTGGTTGGAAAGAAAAGGTTGTGTGTGTGTGTGTGTTGGCCAAAAACCTGAGGAACAGGGCCTCCTAGGAGCCAAGAGAGGGGCTTGGTTCTTGTCCATTAGAAGGCATCGCAGGAACTCTGTTCAGAGTTGCTGCTTTGCACAGCTGGATTTCATGTCAGAGCCCTAACCTCCCTCTCATTCCTGTGTGGCTTCTGGAAGAGTGAGGAGGCTCTCATATGCGTTGTAGCGTTGTAGCTTGGGGCTGACTGTGAGTTGGAGCAAGTCACTGGGAAAGTTGAATTTGAAGCGGCCTTGCTTGCTAAAACCTGACCTTTAAAGATATTTCATTACTCTTAATCAGCTTTGGCTAAGGAACTTCTTTTTCCACAGCCAGTGGCTTTCAAATGCTTCAAATGCTGGTGATGAATAGATAATGTTGGGAAGGACCTGTCAGCGATATAAAAGTTCTAGTCCAACTTCTGATCGACGCATGGTGTTATTAGTTCTTCCATTTAGCCCTCTCTCCTCAAAATTCCCATCACTTTTCATGCAGGGTCATCCATGTGCCATTAGCTCATGAGCCTCTGCAAAGACAGAACAAGATAATGGACTGTGAAGGACTTAGCAAGTGAAAATAGAGTCTGGACACAAGCTATTATCATGGTTTTGTCAGGTTAGATTGAAAGAAAGCAGAGATTCGTGTAGTGGTTGAGGCGTCTGGTGAGGATTTACATAATAACTGCATTATCCATCTTTTTTTTCTCCTGAGACTATTGGAACAGGGTCCAGTTAAACAGCAAGACAGTGGCTGACAGAAAAAAACTGGACTAAGCATATTCCACTTGGCTTTGGTCAGCCAGTAAGTTGTATTAACTACGCCTCACTGCCCAAAGATAAGAGCGGCCCCGAGCTGACTGCACAAGTTGTTGGAACTCATCATGCCAGGCCCATGAATTAAAGTATCTAGTTTCTCTGGCTTCTCCAACTTACCTGTTGGATGACATTTGATCTTCTGAAAGTGTCTCGTCAATCCAGTAGTCTGGAAATGCAACGAGTCTAGCGTGGGAGCTGTGACTGCTTTCCCAAGCGGTCTTGAATAGAAGGGGAGGATAACTCGAACCCTGCCTGGAGCTGGGAGGCTCTTTCTGTCCATCATGACCATATGCCCACCCAAAGTTCCCTTTACCTCTGTGTGTTATCATGCAGTTGACACGTTGCTTTCACACACATTAGAGATCTCTACTGATGAACACAGCAGTCTCACAATATAAATCACACGTGGTAATACACCACATTTTGAAGATGGGGACACTTAAGGCATGGAAGATCTTGGGTCACTTGTGGGGCTATATTGTTTCAACAGCATTCAGCAAATCCATTGTCTGTTCTAGGCTACTTGGAGATCCTGGATTAAAGACCTTGACATACATTCTGTTCAGCTTTGTTGGGGTATGACTTAGGTATAATAAACCAAAAGACTGATTCATTTAGCCAAGTAAATGCACCCATATCATCACCAGCACAAGACACAGCGTATCTGTTGCCCATGGAAGTCTCCTTGTGTCCACATGCAGCCAGTCCCCTCTGTACCCTCAGCCTTTCCTTGTACTTTTTAGACTTCATGTAAGTGGAACCATACACTGCACATACTCTTACATTTGGCTCCTCTCCTTCAGCGTGTTTTTGAGACTCATTTGCACACCTAAGCAGTTTGACTCTTTATTATTGAGTGGACCTTGAGGTATCTGTATGTGTTTGTGGTGTGATTTGCACACAAATTCTATGAAGATTGCATCATGCCCTTTGTTTTACACCTTGGGACTCTGGACCACCTTAGTGATGACAA